CCCCCTTTCTGAAAGCTCTCTCACGGATATCCCCTCTCGAAATCTTTCAGACAGTTCTTCACCTCCAGACACACCAAAAAAATCTTAACCCCAATCAACCCCTCGCCCATCAGAAACCCCTCTCCCAACAAAAACAAAACGCAAAACAAAAAAAAAAAAAACAACGTAGTCCTCGCCTACGACAAGGAACCATCAGCGCCGAGCAAGCCCTGTAAAATAAACCAAAAAATAAAAAGTCAGTTTCTCAAAAAAGAAAGAAAGAAAGAAAGGAAACTGAAAGCTTCAAGCCCCGATCTACGTCGATCGAGGCTGTTTCTAGCAAAACGAACTTCAGATCTGGAAATATCTCGGTGAAAAGAGGTTCTGAAAATTTTTTGGTGTTTTTAACTGCCGACAACCACCACTGAGGTGGACCAGGCAACGGTCGATGGGTGGTCCGACAACCGAACGACGAGCTCTCCCCAGAGCTCTCCCTCTCCTTTTTTTTTTTTTTTTGAAAAACCAAAGAATGAACAAAAAAAATTTTAGTTATATATAGAAAACATAAGGGCAAAACAACGTCGTTTTGAGCATAGGACCAAAATGACGCCGTTTCAAGCGTAGAAGATCCGTGTGTGGATTGAACCTGACCTGAGATCCACGCAAACTGACCCGTCGACCTATTTTTTAGCTAACCTTGAACCGGTTCAGACGAACCGCCAGTGAACCGGTCTAAACCGTTGGATCGCCTAAACCGCAAGTCGAACCAACCCTTTTCGGTCCAATGAAACCGGTCGTTGATTGGTCCGGTTTAGGTAAAAAAATTTTTTTTTTTAATTTTCTATTTTTTTTAATATTATTTTCTTTGTTATTTTAAGTATTTTTTTATTGATGCATGATAAATTCTTAAATTTGGTGGAATAAATATTTAATTGTTTTAATAATAATAAAATTGAAAACAAGTAATAATAAAAAATATATATTAAAAATGTTAAAAAAATATTTTTTATTATTATTATTTTCCCTCCCTAGATGTTGGAGGAAATAAAAAAATATTTTTCTAAAAAAATAATTTCGCCTAGATGTTGAGGAATTATTATTAATAAATTTTCATAAAAAATAAATATAAGAAATTTTAAATTAATTTTCAAAAATTATTAAAATCGAACCTGCTTTGAAAATTCACCTAGATGTTGAAGATTTTTAGAGATGTTTGTATTTTCTTAAAAACGAAACCTTAAACACTAATTCTTAATTTTCAAAATCCTAGGTTTCTAAAACCCCTTAAATTCGAAACCCCTAAAAATCCAAAATCCCCTAAAATTCGAAACCCCTAAAATCCAAACCCCATAATCCAAAATCCCTAAAATCCAAACCCTTAAATCAAAACTCCAAACCTCAAAACCCAAACCCTAAAATCTTCAAACTATAAAATCTTCAAACTCTAAAATCAAAACCCTAAACCTTTCATATCCTAAAATTCAAGCTTTAAAACCCTCTAAACCTTAAAACCAAACCTTCAAAACCTTTACTCAAGTACTTACTCAAAACCTCCTAAAAATCCTAAAGACACATGTGAAAATTTCATTTGAAGCAATTTGTTCCCAAATGCCGCCTAAATGATGGGGTATTTAGGAAATTTTACTTCGTTAAGTCTTTTCGCATGATTTTTTAATTCGCATTAATAATAAAATTAATAAATAAAAAGTATAATAGTAAATTGTGATCTTAAATATAAACAGTCGCACCTAAGCTCTGGTTATATGTTGGAGAGTCGAGGTGACCTCATTATACTTAAGAATCCAACTTTTAAATTACATCTCATCTTGCATAACATTCATTGGCATACATACATTAACATACATACATTAGCATGTTATTATTAGTATTTATTTGCACTATTCTGTCTTTAATTTTTATTTACTACTTGGTGATAAAATATTTTATAATAAAAAAAGAATAATACTTTTTTAAAAAATTATGATATTACAAAATAAAATAAAAATAACATTTCGAAAGAAATAATTCTTAGTACTTTGTCTAGATGTTGGAGAGTCACCAACAATTTTCTATAAAGAGTGTTATTTCATTTTAAGGATTATTGTATTAAATCTTAAGCGAAAAGAGTTATTTCAAATTCTGCCTAGATGTTGGAGAATTTTAAAATAATTCTTTAACTAAAGATTTCTCAATATTTCTAAATAAAAATTTTAGCAAAAATATTTTTTAAAATGAAGGGAATTAGTATTAAATTTCAAATCAAAATCATTTTTATCCAACATTGAAAATAGCGCATAGTTGAATGGTACCAATTTATGGGCGTTGTGGGGGTGCTAATCCTTCCCCCACACGTAATCGACTCCCGGATCTAACCTGATTTTTTGTAGACCAAAATTTATCTTTTTGATAAACTTTAAACCCGTTTTTATAGTTTATTTAAAAAGAAAAACTGTTGGGTGGCCAATCACACCCTAATAAAGATTGGTGGCTACTCCATTTTTTTTTCTCGACGTTAAAACATTTTTATATCTGGCCGTCTCAAAACCGTTACGACAATATGTAATTGAAATCAAAATTATAACTAGTCACTGTGTTTCAATTTTAATGTGTATGTTTAAATCGGCATAAAGATTAAAAACAGGCTTTGAATATATTTATAGTTTTTAATTTTTAAAGTAA